AAAACGGACCTACTGGACGGAACGTGTCTGGGGAGTAGCAGCAACTGCCCGCAGGTGCGATACTGCATTTTACATTCTTATGCTGAGGTAATATTTCCAAACCGGGGCCCGGCCGGGCTGTTTCAATGGACGAAAACTCAAAAATTTATACCAATAATATACGCAAATAGTTCTCGTCACTAATTTTGTCAACGTTTTTGTGCTTTGTTGTCTATCATATCATACTTGTCGTTCCATAAGACTGCCCGGCCCTGGTTAAGAAATGTGTCCTCAGCATTACCTAGTTCTATGCCTGAATGGGTTTAAAGTTGGGCTTGGTACTGGATAGTCTCCTCGTATCCAAGAACGTAGATTTGCCCCATGTACGGTTCTCGATACGCGTGGGTCCACTCCAGGGCAGAACCAGTGGGCCAAAACAGACCTCCTGGACGGGACGTGTCTGGGGAGTAGCAGTAACTGTCCGCAGGTGCGATGAATTACTTCATCGTGGATTTTGACTTGTGCTATTCCTCAATGGGTTACGGTCAGGATCAGGCACGGTTCTGGACAGTCTTCGCGATGCAAAGAACGTAGATTCTGGATAGTCTCCAAAACGTGTGGGTCTGAAAAGAATACGGTTACGACATATACGATATAAACGATCACAAACTGAGAGCATTCTTTGAATAGGTTTACAAGATCAAAACCATACGACGATTTACGACGATTTTGATGGCAGGCAAAATGCCGTTATGATTTCTGACGATGATTATTATGATGAAGATGATAATTTTTTTCTGACCCGTCTCTATAATCTTTGATGATGACGATAACGGTAATGATTATATTCCTCATCCTTATCTATCATGCTGCTGCTTCTCATGATGATACCGATGGTGATGATGAAGATAATTTTGCCTGCCTCCCCCATCAGGGTTTCACGCTGGGGATGTGGATCCGTCTGGAGGAGCGGCCTGAGGGAACCGACCGGTACTACCTGTCCACAGGCGGGCACACACGGGACTCTTACGGCTTTAACTTCTACTACGACCTGACAGAAGGGCCCTCTTTCTGGGTTAGCCAGAACTACAGCACGGACTGGTGCACGGTGAGAGAGGCGTGTTTGTTTGTTTGTTTGTTTGTTTGTTTGTTTGTTTGTTCATGTCCTAGCTGTCTACAGGCGGGCACACCAGAGACTCGTACGGCTTCAACTTCTATTATGATCTGACGGAAGGGCCGTCTTTCTGGGTTAGCCAGAACTACAGCACGGCATGGTGCACGGTGAGAGGGGGGTTGAATGTTTGTTTGTTTGTAAGATTAGGACAGAGTTGATGCAGTACGTGTGCCTAATGGTAGACTGTTTCAGATTCTGGATCTTCTGCAGGTTTGTCGCTGATGTTTTGGGACAGCCAGCTGATTGCTTGTCGTTCGTCTAATTGCTCTGTTATACCTGGTTTCCCACAGATCGAGAATTAACGTAGATGATCTAAGGGCTTGGGGTGTTTTATCGTCAAATGTAATTATACGTTAATGTAAATGTGATTAAACTGCATGTGAGTGTGAGCAGGAGCAGACCATGAGGCATCTCTTTGTCTGCCCCCTCCTGCCTGAAACCAGGACCAAGGAGGACCTGGAAGCCCTGACCCCCAGTGGAAAGGCATGCGAGGAGTCTTGGAGAGTGTAGCAGTGGTGACTCGAGAAGAAGAAGAAAATTATACGTTTGCAGGAGTAAAGTTTGGTAATTTATCCACTTTTCCACAGACTCGCTTCGAGATGGACATCCACGTCTGGATCTACCTGACGTTCACCTGGAGCCCTCCGTGTGACGTCACCATCCACGTCAACAGCACGAAGGTCCAGCACAGGTTCTCCGCCATGAGGCTACAGAAAATCGAGAAGGTGAGCAGTTGGACTTTGACCATCATGAAGGTTCATCTGACAGTGTGTTGGTAGTTACATATTTAAAGTTAAAACTTTAGATCCAACACAAAAAGTTAGAGCTTTCGACCAGTCACTCTGGTCTTCCTCAGTAGACTGACCCAGTGAGGCTTGTCACGTGGCTTCTTTAAAGAGTGACGTAAACACTGGGTCAACGTATGTGGTAGACGATTTCGGCCCCCATCGCGGTTGATGAGAACTTTGGTGGAACATTGTGCGGACTTTTCGTGAACAAGATCTAACAAAAGACAGCCTTCGCCGCTCCTAACAAGAATTTTAGACATATCTGCTTACTCATGCAGTATATAATATGTAACTATGTTATCCAATCTTTACCATGACCCCTCCCCCAGGACCGGTACACAGCCCTGGCGATCGCCGCTCCCAACAACAAGGCGTCAGTCTCCGGCATCACCGGGTTTTTCCTGCTGGACGAACTCCGCTTCTGGGACAGGAAACTCTCCGGCAGGGAGATACACGAGGTCATGATGTATGGTAAGTTATACTATGTTATCCAGTGTTTCTGCCTAGTACGTAGTACATGCTATTAAGAAAGTACAGCCGGATCCAAGCCTGATTTCCTGACTATGGTGGTTTGTGCAGGTTGCTGTCTTCGGGGCTCTAAAATGTACCACGGTCTGAATCCGTCACCTGTAAGATTATATCCTTTGTCTTTTACAACTTCTGCAAAGGTAAAAGTTGGATCAGAATGAACTCAAACAGCTAACATTTACGTCCAAGAAAAAGAAAACAGAATCTCACTGATATTCACACCCAGGCCGATGAGACGATGCCTGTACTGTAAACGCCGTATTAGTACGTCAAAGAACAAGATTATCAAACAAAATATCGTTAAATTTTATCCATTTGATAATTTTTTTTCCTTGTTCATCTCCAGACCTGAGGATGTCAGGTGATCACTACCACCCTCCGCCGGGGTCAAAGGTCATGAAGGGCAAGTACAAGTGCACCGGAGAGGAGCCGCTACTGGGCATGTGCGAACACGAGGAGGACTCCTCATTGGCTGACGAGCTGTGTGACACAAGCAACCTGGCCTTCGTGCGCTGCGTTCGTAAGTCAGTCAGTTATAGCCTGTGATTTGTCGTCACAGGTTAGCGTAAAGTGTACTTATATCATCCTTACCGAGAGGAAACGATAGTTCTTGAACTGAGTAAAGAAGCCAATGCATTATTCTGCCATCTATTGGTATAAGAATGTATCTGCAATATACGCTTTTTGGTCACGTAGACATTGTTTTTCGTGAATAATTCCATGAGATTGGCAAAAAGAATTTTTTATTCAACAACCAGTGGACACTCTGGTCTTCCTCAGTAGACTGACCCGGTGAGGCTTGTCATGTGGCTTCTTTGAAGTGTGACGTCCACACTGGGTCAAAGGTATCTGGTAGACGATGTCGGCCCCCGTCGCGGGTAAGAGTCGGAGGCTATTTACATCAGGGCCTATCACCCCTCACTTGACCGTGACGGGGGCCGATATAGTTTACCAAATACCTTTGCCCCATTGGTTACGTCACACTTCAAAGAAGCCACGTGACAAGCCTCACTGGGTCAGCCTACTGAGGAAGATAAGTGACTGGTCGAAAGCTCTGGGTGAGAGAACATTATTGTGTTTTAACTTTTGATACAGCACACTTAGTCGTGGGGTCCTGTGGCATAGCGGCAGAGTGATCCACTCAGAACCAAGAGGTCCAGTGTTCGAGTCCTGACATGTCACCGATTTTGTGCCCTTAATTGGGAAAGGCACTTTACACGACTTTCCTCACTTGACTCAAGTGAAAATGAGATTTGTCTTGTCCTGTATTCGTCATCTGCGCTGGTGGCGGCATAAAATAAATTGATATAACTTGAGTGTGCTGTCACCATGTCCAGTCATGAAATGTTGGAATATATATATAAAAAACATTGCAATCGTCTGTTCTGCATTGTTTGCAGCTAACAGCTGGCTGGCCGGGTGGCTGGACTGGGACTACTGTGATGAGGACGGGAAGATGCGCCGGACCCGGAAGTGTTACAGCCCGTCCCCTCACTACCAGGGGGACTGCTCGGACAGCCCCGGGCCTTGGGAGGAGGTCAGGGACTGCGACTATTAGACACAAATGGAAAAAACAACAAGACTGGCAATACAAACACACATTGCCATGACGACGGTGGTTGCTGTTAGGGTTATTGTTTGCATGACACTGGTCATGATTTTATGATTTTGAGTGAGCCTTGGTACCCTACTCTAGGTTTGTCCCAAGGGTTTCCAGGAATGCGGGCATGTCAACAGAGCTGGGAGACATTCCTGTGGACATTCCATGCCTGTGGACAAAATTCCTGTACGATTCCTAGAATTCTTGCAAATTGCAAACAATACTGTACCATTAGGCTCCTCCCTGAGACGTCGCCAAAAATATTTCTCGGTAGAAGAAATCTTGAGATTTCAGACACAGTACAGTACACTCCGGTTGACCTCATACCACACCCTGCCACCCAGGTTATTCCGAGTCACAACCCTGTCAATCAACTGAAGTCCTTCCTGCTGTGGACGAGATACATACATACGAACTCCCGCGAAACAAGAGCCACCCAAAACAGCACTTCCGTCCAGGAAGTATAATTACGTACCGGGTATTATGTACTGGGTATTATATTACGTAGAACTTCATGTTAGCAAATAGTCTTATATCACCACATTTTTCTTGTCAATGTCTGTTTGCAATTAGCCCTCGGGCATAAATTTGCAATGAACAACTCTCTATGTTCAGCAAAATCATAATGTACTAGAAAGGCCGACATTTGCTTGGGAGCAAATACAACATATTTCAGTCCATCTCCCTCCCACGCAAAAGTGGACTATTCCAAACTTACCCCAGTGCAAAACTGGCAAAGGTTCTCAAATAAATGAATTAAATAGTAGCTATGTAATTGAGAACAAAGATGCAACAAGTACTTTGAATCTCGAAGTCGAAAGCTTTACTACTTTACCTTATTACAGGTATGCAAAAACTAACAATGATGAGATTTGATACATTTTGAAGGTCTTACTCTCTTAGGCACATAAAATTGAATGTGTGGGTCATTACGCACCACTTAGTGCAATGTGACCTCAGGTAACCCGCAATGGAACACATGTTCCATGGATGGAACCGGCCATTCTTTAGATAGAACATGGAACGGGTACAGCACTTTTGGCCCTTTTTTGCTGAAAATAGCCATTAAAGTCCCCCAAATGAGTCATTTGGAAGTGGTGTATGCCAAATAAATGACTGCTATTCTGTAGACACACGTTCAAGGTACCCTTATACCGAATGTCATATCATTTGGTTGTAATACCAGGGCTCAGGATCCAAAAATCCATTTTTTGTCGAAAAATGCCCCAAAAAAACCTTCATAAAAATTTTTCAAAGGCATGTTTCAAAAAAATGAAAAAAACGTCTGGGGGTATTTGCCCACTCTACCTCCATGCCAAATTTCAAGTCATTTGGCTGAATGATGGCGGAGTTGAATCCCTTTGACTGTTTGGCAGGAGGAGAAGGAGGAGGAGGAGAAACATGAGGGAACACAATATATTTCATCCATACCATGGTATGGACTGAAATATAAATATGGAATTATAGAATTAAGTTATCATAAAAGGCATAAGTAATTCAATTGGATATTGTCAATTCTAGAATGACATAGAAGAACTTTATTGCACGACAATTGCACATGGTACAATGTATGGCAAACTACATAAAGAGAGTAACAACAAAAAAATAAGTGTGTTGAATAAGACCTAATGTCGACTAAAACCTAACATATCTATATCATAATCATTTAAATGATAAGGGATATCACAAGTCTTTGATCAAGTGTTACAATCGAGTGGGCTAATCACAGGTTTCGTTATTTTTTCTAATAGCAAAGCATTCCTTTATATATCTACCTACTGATTCTTAATTGAGTTATTGCTTTACGAATTTCAAAGTTATCTATATCACAAAGGTATGTTTCTTGTTCATAACAGTTTTTTAATTTGCTAAGAAAAGACAGCTTAGAATTATTTTTAATGCAACTGGACCACTCTTGTGACATATAAGGACGTTAACGCAGTATAACATGGTAGCCACGGTAGTTCCATATGTGTGAATGACTGTGACGTAATCACCAACGACGTTTTTAGGTCACTAATCAATACTTTGTCTCAACCAAACGTACTACAGTATTGAAGCTTACGCAATCAATAAGGCTTTTATACTAAACGTGCAATGAAATGGAAATATGCTGAAATGAGAAAAAGACCATGTGGTGCGTTCGAAGTGTGCTGATCAAAGACCTATGCTTAGTCCTTATTGTTTGAGTAATTAAGATATGTTAGGTTTTATTCGACATTAGGTCTTATTCAACACATTTATTTCGTTGTTTTTTTTATTTTCTTTATGTAGTTTGCCATACATTTTACCATGTGCAATTGTCGTGCAATAAAGTTCTTCTAACGATATCCTTAAACCTTAACAAGATGATAATGATCTTACTATCGTAGCCGTGTGCCTTGGGTGATTAGATTAAAAGATAAGTTACCATTATTACTAAAAATTTAAGAAGAAAACGAACGAAGTGCCTTGGGTGATAAGGTTAAGTTTTCGTTTACGTCACATCATAGCTCTCCATGGGCTATATGATTTTCATTATGAAACATTAGAAGATATATACATACCATAAAAATCCTTTTGTTCGGGTGTTGTATTTACTATTATTGACTTGATCACCGATGACGTTTTTAGTTCACTAATCAATATATTGTCGCTGTCAGATGTGAATCATACGGTGTAAAACATATCTATTAATCACATGAATGACAATAACAGCATTGACGTCACAAGTATCATGAATAGTTCCGGAAAGATACGTGAGAATAATAAATGTGGTGGTGACATCCGACATCGCTTCCTCTTTCATTTTTAAACTCAAACACATCTCAAACAAGTTTCTGTACCAGTCCGACTAACGTAACGTAACGTAACGTTTCACTTTTGTGCTGTATAAAAAGAATGAATGAACTGGTTTATTTATTATTTACAACGTAAATACCATTGCAGCCTTACAGGCTGAATTGCGGCATGATGCACATTAAAATGTATCAAGAATGGTTCAGCAGCTCAACAATAAAAGGTAAAACACTAGTACTTTTCTTGAACCTAGACGTCCTGCAGCTAAACTGCGTGAAGTTTCTGCATTGACGGTTACTGGCCCATTGTGCTATTATCAGTGCTTGAACAATGGGTAGTAGGCAGCTTTTCGTCTCTAGGGGCATGCTAACACCCTGATCAGCATAACGAGTTCCAACAATCTGAAGAGAACACAAAGCGTTAAGAGCTTGAACGTGAACTTGGGCGACAGAATGCGTGACTAATTCTGATGGCCTCTCTGTGCTTTTTGTGTACAATCCATCACCTGTCACGGTCCATCCCATTTCCGCTCGAAAATAACAAAGGCTCGAGCAATTCGTCATGTTCGATACGCTAACACAATGGCAGGAGGTGCCCGCGTTAAAACAAGGTCAGGATCTCTGCTGTTACAGTAGGTTTTGTTGGCCGCAGACAGTATGTTTTCCGTTTTTCCCGAAGATGGCAGGCTGGTGGCTTCTCGGTGGTGCTTTAGCAGCTGTAATGCTGATTTCCGGGGCGACTGCAGCATTTAACCCGGCGTTGGACGCCTTTTCCCGCGCCGTGGCTCTAGACCGGACCCTTGCGGACATCCCCCACCGTCTTCTCTGCCACGAGCTGTGTCTAAAAGACGCCTCCTGCGCCTCCTTCCAGTACAACCCGACGTCTCGGGAGTGCCGGATCAGCATCGCGGCGGAAGGGCTGGAGGATCGTCCCGGTGACGGGGTGGACGACTCGCTTCACGACCTCTCTCTGGACGGCCTTCTTCCGGCTGCCTCAGATGCCGATTCCGTAAGTCCATCCGTAAGCCTGCCTGGTATATCTAAAAATGTGTGGTTCTCTTATCGTCATATTCGTGAATAAAGGTGCCCATTGCATTAGCTCTATATGGTAACTGAAGCAGGCAAGTTGGGACATAGAGGTCCGTACGTACGCAGAGTTTACAGATAAGAGACTGACTCATATGGTGTAGTAATTATAGAGATAAACTTATATAGATGTGAAATACTCGCATCATTATGTCTATGACTATGAATACTTCGTCCATCATTCCAGTGAGAAACCTTTTGCTACTTAACAGTTATAATGTGTCCTGCGTACTGTCTGAAAGGAGTCTAACTTTTGAAGGATTCCCAGTTTTAAGAGTCGCGGTCTTTAAGGCGCGTTCGCCTAACTAACCAGTATGATAAAACTTTGTCTATAAAACATGTGCAGAGTCAGTCCTTCTAACGTGGATACAGCCCGTCAGTCTGTCTCTCTCTTCCAGAGACCGGGCTGCACCTCAGATCCGGAGGCACTTTTGAAAGAGTTTGAGCCGAGAGTTCGTCTAACTAGCCATTCAGACATGCCTTTAAAGCATGTGTAAAATCAGACACTCTAACATCGATATAACCTGTCCGTTTTTTAGAGACCAGACTGCTCCTCCGAGCCTGACGCCTGTATCAGCGGACATGTTTGTCAGGAAACCTGCGAGCATGACGGAGCCATGACCTGCAAATGTAGATCCACAACGTGGGACAGGGGCGGGTGCAGGTCCGTGGGTATGTAAAACTAGCCTCCACCAGGCCATTTTACGGGAATACGGATCGTAGCATTCGGCAAAAAAGAGAGGGGAGTCCGGCCGCGGAATGTTGTGCCTTTCGATTCTCTCTGGCCCCAAGGCCAAGGCGGCCAAACTCCAGCGTGTTAACTTTCTTTATTCGGGCCTTTATTACCTTCGCCAAGCTGCAGAGAGAGAGAGAGAGAGAGGAGGAGAGAGGAGGGAGGGGGAGGGAGGGAGGAGAGAGAGAGAGAGAGAGAGAGAGAGAGAGAGAGAGAGAGAGAGAAATGGCCATGGTGCCTTATAACATATTACATAGTGGAAAAACATTGATTGAAGCAGCCAATCCAGAATGGAACAATGCATCACGTCTACGTGCACATAACAGCTGCCCTAGGGTCAATGTACGCCTTGCGTGATCACAAATATACGTCATTCAGATATGAAAAATTAATTCATCTCTGACCTTGAAACAAAACAACACTCAAATTTTTGTTTTGACAATCTCCGTCCGTACGTCATACATTTGAGACTGCAGATGGCGAAAACTTGGGGATAAATTATTGATTTGATAACAATAAGTTCTCAAAAGTTGCGTGTTCTACAACCGTGATCTGTCCTTAACAATCTTGCGTAAAGGACTGTACGCAGCTGGCCATGCGTGGATGTATACATTACGTAGCTGATTATGACAAGATGAAACGTTGTAAACCTACGAAAACAGTCTAATATGTTTTGATAAACATAAGCAAATGATCATGTACATGTATGAATGTAGTTGTTACCAGACGTTACCATAGAGTTTTAGTAACATTGTAAATATCTGACATATTTCCTGTATTACAGAATGTAATATTACTGTCCTTAGAAAACACAATAGATTAGCTTTAGTATTACTATAGACTAGCTCTGATAGAATCATATGTTAGTATAGCTCATGTATCTACCCCTGTTGTTCCCTTTTTGCCATACATTGTACCAGTTACAGTTGTTGGGCAATAAAATTGATTGATTGATTGATTGATTGTATTTGCAATAAACTTTCATTAATGAGAGATCATTTGGAGATCAACAGAATTCTGATTGGTCTCCCAGCTGTCTAATCTCTTTCTGTTCCCGCCGGCAGATGTGGGCAGCTGGCAGGAGTGGCAGCCGTGGGGAGACTGCTCCGCGACCTGCGGGGGCGGCGTCAAGACGCGCACGCGCACTTGCAGCGACCAATATGGCGGCAACACCTGCGTCGGCCGGAGTACGGAGACCCGTGCATGCGCAGAGACGCCTTGTCCGGGTACGTCGTGTCCATTTTCCTTGCGTTGTTTTATTATATATTTTATGGTTTTTGTTGATAATGTCTAATCGGGATCAAGAGAATAAGATGAAACAGCTGGAACCTGTCT